TATATATATTGCCTTGATCTAAATTAACGAATGTTTTTTTTTTTTATAGGAAGTATGCCAGTTCCTAAATTCCCAGCTTGATCCCACCAATGTCGACTCAGTCTTCTTTGCTGCGGAGACCAGCCAAGTCATATCTGGATGTGAGGTATGGGCACATTTGTCCCCGGGCTCATTATTTCACAGATTATGCCTTGAAGATGTCCAGAATGTGGTCATTTCAATTTCGTAGGTTATTTTTGTACAGCGAGATTTGGTTCTGCTCCTGAATAAGAAAAAAAGGGAAACACAAACAAATCGTCTCCCACTTAGGAGTTGGCTCCCATCATAAAGAGCCAACTCAAAACACCGCATCATTTGCCACTGACACAAAACTACAAAACCCATTTCAGACACCATTTTTAAGTTGTATGACATTAATGTGGCAGATGCAGTGTCGGTTCCGGTGATGTTCTTTGTCAGGAAATCAATGATGGAATGCAAACCTATTGGCGACCTACCGGTAATCCTTTTTTGTCACTGCTTAGATTCATGTGACCAATGAAACCCGAGACATCCTTCTGGCTGCTGTCAGTGAAGACTCCACCATGTCTCAGATTCACCGGGCTGTGAGCGCACTTAGCTCTTTGGGGCTTCCTCTGACCTCTCAGGAGGTCGTCGGCGCGCTCACAGCTCGCATCAACAAGGAGGACAATGTCGTGGCGTAAGTTGGGTTGGGAAATGCAGCAGTTGGGCTTTGGATGTGACCGTTTCTAGGATCTCATTATTTTGTTTTTTTTTTGACAGCATTACCTTAGCTCTGCAAACAGCCACCCGCCTTTCTCAGCAGGCAGAACTTCGTGACCGTTTCTAGGATCTGATTATTTTGTTGTTTTTTGACAGCATTACCTTAGCTCTACAAACAGCCACCCGCCTTTCTCAGCAGGCAGAACTTGGAGGAATACTTGAGGAAATTGAGGTGAGGGCTTTAACATCCACCAGGAGGCGCTCTGTCACCTGTCTTTGTCTACACTCCCAAGTGCGATTTCTTTATTTTCTTTTTTTTTTTAACTCGCAGGATCTGACAGCACGTTTAGATAATCTTGGTGGTATCTTCCTCCACTTTGAAGAGGGGCTCGAGGCCACTGCCACATTTGTAACGGCTGCGTATGCCCTGTCAGATCATGTCGATATGGAGCCACCCTTCAAACAGGTAGGATTTATTTTGGCTGTTTTATGTCATCGCCTCCAAGTGCGATTTCTTTTTCTTTTTTTTTAACTTGCAGGATCTGACAGCACGTTTAGATAATCTTGGTGGTATCTTCCTCCATTTTGAAGAGGGGCTCCGGGCCACCTCCCCGTTTTTAACGGGCGGATTCATCATCCAATTATGTGACAAAATGAATATTTTTACAATTGTATTCACCATAAGCCAACTAACCACTTATTTAATGAAGTAATCCAGTAAGATTTGACTCAACACATCTGAATGTGTTTAAAAGAGTATCCACATTCATGGAACAAATGTTAGGGAAGCGTGTGGGCCGAATGTGGCTGCAGGTCGTCACTGAAATTATTCATCATCCAATTATATGACAAAATGAATATTTTTACAATTGTATTCACCATAAGCCAACTAACCACTTATTTAATAAAGTAATCCAGTAAGATTTGGCTCAACACATCTGAATGTGTTTAAAAGAATATCCACATTCATGGAACAAATGTTAGGGCGCTATTGGTAGCGTAAACCTCCTAGATTAACGACCAGCGTGGGCCGAATGTGGCTGCAGGTCGTCACTGAAATTCTTTGTTGACCTTCTTCTTTCTACAGGACCAAGTCATTCAGCTGGTGAACTCCATTTTCAGCAAGAAGTCCTGGGACTCTCTGGCTGAGGCTTTCAGCGTGGCAAATGCTGCCGCCACCCTCTCCGGCAACCGTTTTCATGTTCCGGTGGTCGTCAACACTCACGGCCCGCCCACCGTGTCGCACAGGCAGCCGACCCTGCAGGTACAAATGTGGGACGCCACCGCAGTACTGGTCTGCGTTGTCCCGTTGATTAACCTGAGTTGTTCCGTTTCTCTCGCTCGTACCCAGATCCTTGTCACCGACGTCATGTCTCAGCCTCTGGCCTCAGCCAGCGTGCAAGTGGAATCTGCGTATGCCGTGGCTTCCAAGAGCATCATTCTTGGCCAAGCGCCGTTCACTCTCAATGAGTAGGTGTCCAAAAGAATGATCTCTTTATCCCCAAACTTCAATCTACTGTGCAGGTGGCATTTTGTTTGACATGGTTGCCTGACATTTGGAGTGATTAAAAATTTGAGTGTTGATTATGTTAGGATCAGTGATCTATGTTGGACCTTTATCATTATTGTGTAAAATATGTATTTGCTTTTCAGTGGCGTCTTTGAACTGAACTTCATGTCCCAGCAACCAGCCAGTGGATATTACCAGTTTACGGTTTCAGTAACCGGTGACAGCCGCTTGATTGCCAATCATGTTGAGGTGAGAGTTCAGCTTCCTTTGGGCTTTTATGAATACTTTTTTTGTGATCCTGAGATTTACCTACAGTTTCACCTACCGTGACTGAAATTCAAAAGATTTTTAAAAGATGAATGCGATTCGTGGCGTCTCATGAAAATGAGTTACTTTTGGAAAATTTATAATTTGTCCAAAAAAAAAAATGATTCGTGGCGTCTCATGTAAATGAGTTACTTTTAGGAAAATTTACAATTTGTCAAAAAAAAAAAAAGTGACCCACCCTTTGGAAAGGTTTTCAAAAAAAGGTTTCTCGTGCCATCGATGTGTGTTTTTGGCACAGGTTGTCTCGTTTTCGCTGTAGGACATTTGATGCTCCGTTATTCGAGCCTCCGAAAGTTAGCCTGTTTTGAGGGAGCGGTCCTTTCTTCAGAAAACGGGTGCCGGCTCACTCCGTTATGTAACTTAATTGCAGAGTACAGTTTTTTTTTTTTTTTTTTGCGACGACGATGGCTGGGGGCGCAGCAGGGCGGTTCAACAGGCCAACGACTTGTGCTCACGGAAGCCAAGTCCAGTGCGAGGGGGCGAAAGCAAGCGCCCGTGACGACAATAAAAGTACATTTTTCATAAGATGCCCCCTTCAGAATCTTACCACCCATCATTTGTGTACGGCCCTACCACGACTTTGATTCGTCCTCGCTTGATGCGTCGACGAGTGTACATGTGACGTAATGTGACTTTTTGTTGTCACGCCGTTCATATGCAGCTCAAAGTGAAAGTGTCGACGGAGGTGGCAGTTACCAATATGGACCTCTCCGTGGTGGATAAGGACCAGAGCATCGGCACAAAGACTACCAGGTGGGAAATCGACGCCGCTACACTTTTTACCTTCCACTGGGACTCGGCGACTTCATGTTGTTTTAAAACGATCCAGGGTGGAGTATCCTTCCAAAGCCGCGAGCTCGTTCATTGCTGACAGTCACCAGAACTTTGCCATGGCCTTCCAGCTGGTTGACGTCAATACTGGAATGGAACTTATGCCCCATCAGGTACGTAACCAATAATGCGGGTCATGAACACTTCAGCTCGGAATTCCCTTCAAGTTGTGTGATTTTTATTCTCTCTCACAGACTTTTGTCCGGCTGCACAATCAGAAAACTGGCCAAGAGGTTGTTTTTGTTGCCGAGCCCGATGCCAAGGGTCTGTACAAGTTTGAGTTGGACGCAACAGAGCGTAAAACGGAGTTTGCGCTCATCTCCGGTACATATTCCCTCTATCTCATGGTTGGCGATGCCACACTGGAGAACCCCATCTTGTGGAATGTGGTAAGTCTCGTCATGGGACGGTGAATCACGTCTTGGCGATCGTGCCCGACGGTGACCTTCAACGCCGGTGTGTTCAAAGGCCGACGTCGTGCTGAGGTTTGTGGACGAGGATGCCCCAGTGAGCATTCAAGCCAAGACTCTTTACGTCCCCAAGCCGGAGATCCAAGTAAAAGCCCGTCCTCCGTAATTGGTTTTCCGAATGACAAGGTGTCATCAGACATCCGTCAGTAATTGTGAACGTTCTCCTGCCCTGCGCAGCACTTATTCAGGGAGCCCGAGAAGAAGCCTCCAACGGTCGTTTCCAACGCCTTCACTGCACTCGTCCTGTCTCCCCTCCTGCTTCTGCTCATCCTGGTAGCACTTGCACCCCTTATCTTATTGTTATGCTTAGCAGGTAAGCTGATGGCAAATGTTTGTGATGGAGCCGAGTTACCGCCGGACGACCACCTGTCTCATTTTTACCTTTAGAGAAAATGGCTTCATGGTTCTTTTGAATCATTGATGAACTCAAGATCAAAGAGAATGCTGACAAATTTGAATGTCAAGCACAATTTTAATTCCCTCCTTCACAAGAATGATACAATTGGATCTCTCCTCTCTTTTGCAGTGGATTAAGCTCGGGGCAAACATTTCCAACTTCAGCTTTTCTCCCAGCACTATTCTCTTCCACGTTGGACATGCAGGTAGGTCTCGCTTTCAAACCATAACTATGAATTGTTGTTTTGGCCCAATATACAAAGTTTGAATGTCAAGCACAATTTTAATTCCCCCCCTCCCAAGAATGATACAATTGGATCTCTCCTCTCCTTTGCAGTGGATTAAGCTCGGGGCAAATATTTCCAACTTCAGCTTTTCTCCCAGCACTATTCTCTTCCACGTTGGACATGCAGGTAGGTCTCGCTTTCAAACCATAACTATGAATTGTTGTTTTGGCCCAATACGCCCCCCCAACCCCTCTTCACAAAATACCGATGTATTGCTTTTTGTATCGATCTATGCCGATTATAATGGGAAAACAGCGGATTTGCACGATTTAAAATCGTCACAATGTTCATGTTCAAATGTTGTCATGATTTGATTTTTTTTTTTCTTCTTCCTTTTCAGCTCTACTGGGCCTGATGTACATCTACTGGACCCACTTGAACATGTTCCAGACGCTTAAGTACCTGGCAATTATCGGTGCTATAACATTCCTGGCCGGGAACCGCATGCTGGCACAGAAAGCAGTGAAGAGGTAAATGTGTCGATGGCGCGTTTGGCATAAAAGATTTCTTCGAGAGTTCCTGATCCTTGAGAGGGAGAGCAATCAGTCCTTCAGATGTTAAGTACTCTGGTGCTCTGAGGCCTCTTGAGAGTTCTTGGGTCCAAAATAAGCAAAAGTGCTGTCCTTGTGGCTTGGCCCGCAACGCTTTATCACCGTGCCAGGCTCTCCTTCCTCAGGGAAAACGCCTTCCTGCGAGAGAAGTGGTGTGAGTGGGCAATTTGTTGTAGAGCCCGCGAAGCATCTAAGTGAGCAATTTGTCTCTCGCGGCATTGCGCGGAGATCTTTCTTTTGCTCCCCCACCCCTCCTCTTGGTGTTCCTCTTTTTAATCCTTTTCAGACAAGTAGGCAACTCCAACTCATGAGTTCTCACCGAGGATGTCCTTATTGCCTGTCACTGTCCTCTACCCACGTGCTGCTATCTCTTTACTGCTCTTTCAGGATTGCTGCCGAGCAAAGTAGTAGGTTGGCAAAGTATAGGAGCCTTCGATAAAGCGGCCCTTTTGTAGCCAAAGAGCTGGTTGTGCTCCCAGGCTCAAGTAAGGGCTTTGTATCTGCCGTGCATCCCTTCTCATGGCTGCCAGCATGCGTGGCCGTGTGGTGCTCCCACTCACTCATCCTAATTTTTCGCCTTCTCATGTGCTCGCCAACTTGCCGGCCGGTTTGCCTTGCCCTTCTCACCCCCATGAACATTACAACTGCCGAATAGTCCTCCCTCCATGGTTTTGACACTCTGACCTTTGCCATTTGTTTTTTAATTTTTTTTTTTTTTAACATGATCTGATCTCGGATTGGTGTGTTGTGACCCCAAGTTATCAGTAATGTTGGCGTTTTTTTCCCAGCTGTGTTATTTAAATGCATGTTTGGACTCAGGTTTTCACAGTCTTCCTGATTTTTTTTTTCTTTTTAATAATAAGCCAGTGTGTTTTGCTCCTGAAGAGAACCTGAGTGAAATCAGTAAATGTGCTCTCTTCCCCGCCCTCCACAGAATTGAGAAAAAATAAGATGAAGACACTGAAGCAGCACACGTTTCCCCCTCTTGGAGTCGGTCACCAATACATCCCCATCGCACAGCATAACAGTTGAAGAATACGTTGCTGAATGGAAGGAAATTCAGAAAAAGTTCAAAGGTCTTGGCGATCAGATCAGTTCTATGCGACTGCTGCGCTGTGTTGACACGCTGTTGATCATTGCACTTCATCTTCCTGTGAGATTATTTTACTTGTACAACATGCCAGTGTTGTCAGTGTGCTCTGATTTTTTTTTTTTTTTAAGTGAGATTATTTTACTTGCTGTACAACATGCCAATGTTGTCAGTGTGCTCTGATTTTTTTTTTTTTTTAAGTTTTTACTTTTGTTGTTTCTTGGTGGAAGTCATTAAGGATCAGTTCTTTACACCTCTCCGCAGTTTTTGCTCGGTGTGTCTCAGCTGCTCATACACCTGCCAGCATGTCTGACAGCTGATCCTCACTCATTGCGACTTTGCAGTACCGTGCTTCAAACTGTACCAACTGTTTTGAGTGTGTGTCAAGGTTGAGCTTGTTTCGTATTTGATACAATTTGCATCCCCATGATAAATTGTTCAATTTGAGGGCATGTTTTTTTCTTAAGAAATAAAGACATGGAGGTGAATTCAGTTGGTTTGTCTTTTGTCGGTACGAAAGCATGCATGTGTCGATCAAATAGATGCAGCTCCTTGCGGGATGTCCCAAAAAGAATTCAGTCACTCTTTGACTGCGAGTAGACTAGACAAAAGCCCCGAGACTGTTTTCTGTTATGACATTAAATTGCTTGATGCCAATTTGGACAGCAGGATTTGAGCCACCGTCCCTTCAGTTACTGGACAGGTCACTTCTTGAGCAGGTCTCGACCAGAAGATCATTTATGAGAAAGTGAATTGTTTGTCAAGTTATTTGTGTTTTATTTTTAATTCCGTTTCCTTAAATCTGCCCTTGAGAGGGAGTATGATCACAATCACATACGGTACCGGTACTTAAAGTACTCCAGAACGTGTGTGGGCAAAGGCACATATTTTACAGTAGAAAAATCTCACAGCGCACCACAAAATAAAATTTAAATGCACAGAAATCCCACTTGATCACTGTTTCTCTAGATTGCAGATAAACGTCTGATGCATTTACGGAATTATTTTGGGTTGAAATGCATTGTTCACACGCTTAAAAAGTCAGTTTCAATAAGTGTCCTCTTGACCGCTGCGTGTGGGAGTGGTGATTTAAAGTTTAAAACTATGAACAAATATTACAAAAAAAAAAAAAAACTTTCCCATCTCGGATTTTTTTCTTGCAAGTGATTTTTTTTTAGTACAAATACGTTTGCAATGCATTTAAAAGCTGCCTTTCAATTCGTTTAAAATGTGAGGAGGGATATTTTTAGGCTTATACTATAAAAAAACAAACAAAATAAAATCACATCATGGGTGCATTTGGAAAGTAACTCCTGCGAGCCACGATGAACGGAGATTCACTCCTGAAATGATCAGGTTCATGTCTTTATTTACTCAAAATTCACGTCGTCAATGTGAACTCTGGGTGTAAAGTATTTCGTCAACCCCAAAGCTGTTCCAGCATTTTGTCGAATGGATGGCAACAGGTGCATTCAGAGATTAGTTGAATCTTCTGCCATCTAATTAGTTGAATCTTCTGCCATCTAGCGGAAGAGCATGAAATTGTTGAGGGATTATTTGTAGAAAGGCCTCATTTTTAGACCACTTTAATGAAATGGGATCATTTCCCACATCCAGCAAACTCTCTAATCAATCACGGCACGCTAATGTGCCACAGCACAGTGCTTGGGAATCACCGTTCTCGATGTTTCTTTCCTTGCCGTGTAAACGTACATGAATGGGTGGATCATATCAGTCGCAAACATGGTCCCGGAACCATATTGTGAGTGCTCCAGGATTTTCCTCGTAGCTTCAATGAGAATTAAAAAAAAACATTTCGTATTGTTTGTTTAGAAATGGAGGTACGAGTAAACAAGCTGCGATGGTTTTGTGAATGAGCACATGCTTCTTTCATCCTTATTTGTGGGTCCTCTCCTCTCCGCAGTCTGTCGGGAACAAAGAATTGAGTTACTGACACGTCGTTCCGTTCTCTGCGTCCTGCAGAGTGTCGCAACTGCTTACCTGAGCCTCATGGCATTTCATGAAGTCCTCTGTATCGCTGATTGCTCCGGATGGAAGTCAGATCTTCTTTATAGGTTCCTTCGTAGACATCAGCCTGGCGTTTCATGTAGCTCTCACTTTCGTCTCTGCCGAAAAAGAACACTGTTGATTCAGGTTTCAGTGAGTCACAGGCACACAATGGCCACAATAATATCTTCCGTTGTGCTTTCACACGTCGGATTTGCACACAGTCTCAAGGATTTTAATTCCCGAGGTAAAACCTACCCGAGACGTTTTCCCATGATGGTCTGAAGAAACTTCCTGGCAGATATTTGGCCCAACACTTTCCTGTAACTGTTTGTAAAGATGGCGTCAGCATGGCGGCCCAAGCTGAAATTAGACAAGATAGACGCAAAACATAAGAATATGATGCAAACTCCCCGAACATACATTATCACAATTTAAATTTGACGATGCAAACTACTCATTAGCAAAAATAATGAGCAGGCACTAACGGAAGAGGAAGGTTTTAGACAGGCCAAGACCATTTCTGGACTTAAACCCAATAGAGCATGCATTTTAACTGTTCAAGTGAAAACTGAAAGGAGAAAAAATAAAAAAAAATACCAACGCGAAGAAAACGCATCACAAAAGAAAAGAAGAAAAAAAAATGTAAATAGGGTCACATGCTTCATGCAGTTATTGCTCGCAAAGGATTTGTTACGAAATATGAAGTTATTCCTCGGCACTGGAATCAAGTCTATCCGTTCTAATACTTTTGTTCACCTATATACAGTATTTGGTGTCCCGTTACAAATAACGCTATGTTCTACGTTATGTTTCAGATCCGAATACTGTATGAATACCTGGAATGAAAAACTGAAATGCTCTTCTTTTGTCTCAAATTCATAAAATCCAATCATTTTCCATCTCCAGCAAAAATGAAGGAAATGGCCTCTCTGAGTGTGTGGGACTGACCGTAAGTCTGTTCTCTCTTGAGCAGAACTTGTGTCTTCCAGCTGCTCTGGATTCTTTAGCGAAGATGTCATCAGGATGGATGTGTCCCTCTGGCCAAACCTGAGAAATACAAATTAAGCGATTAACAGCAAAAAAAAATCACTGCATTCAGTCATATTCAACGTTTCCTGTCAATTTTTTTTTATGATGTAAACATATTTTAGACTAAGAATATTCCATAAAAATAATCTTGCACTTGTGAAAAAAAAGACTCGATTTGCAACTAATAGCAAGATAAAGGTCAAATACAGACATCCTGACCCTTTTTAGCATAACTATTTCAGGGGGTGGAGCGCTGACATGCAATTGTGTAAAAAAAAAATTAAAAAAAAGAATGAATAAATAATAATCCTTTGCTACAACAGCTTGGCAAGTATTACCTCTTTGCACTTTTACATAAAAAAAGAAGACATGATCTACATGTTCATCTCATCCATTTTCTTCGTCTCATCCATTTAAAAAATGAAAATGCACATACAATATATGAATGGAAATGATAATCCAAAAACACCCACGTGATAGTCATGAAAGGAATTTGAAATTCCTTTCACAATGATGCTGTGCATCATTAGGGAGATGAGTTTGGTCCTGCTTACCTGATGGAGGGATAGAGTGGGGATCCTGATGCAGAAAGGAAAAGGCAATAAAAGAGCAACAATGCAGCTTTCTCCATCACAAAGGTTGTCTTGCAGAAGAATGGCGAGCTTGGGGGGAACGACAGCAGCAGAAATTAAATTAGAAAAAATGCTGAGACTCAACTTTCCTTTTCATGAGCGGCAACTTCTCTGCAACGGGAAGTGTATGGGTGCAGAATTGGAAAGACAAACACTTCTGCATCTTCAAGATGACCAAAGCAGACATGACACTATTATTATTAGTATGATTATTAAAATGGCTTCCGCTGACTTACCTGTATGTTGTGTGTGAATCAGGAGAGTTCTTGCTGTTTCCCTTATGCGTTGCTACTCACTCTCATTATCTCTCACAACCACAAAATACTGCAAGACTGAAGAGGTTTTCCCAGCATCCATGGTCAGTTTATACTCAACCTCCCAGTCACTCCCACATCACACTTGATCACTCCCCCTTCTTGATTTTGCATGCTCGCTCTCTCAGGCTCTCATTGTCACACTACTTTTGAAATCCATTGGTAGGCCCATACGGGTGTATTTTGTTAATACAAATAAAAAGTACACACACAAGGAAAAGAAACAGAATTAAATCAAACAGGGTTATCAAAATTATGCTTCAATGAATGTAATGTTTAGGTTGACACCCGCTTTTATTTGTATTTTCCTCAGTGGAAAATAAATAAATCAAATAGAATTTGATTGAAGCAATGTAAATTGCTTTATTTTAACCCTAACCTTTAACCTTAAACGAGCGCTAGTCCTACTAGCACACACATACACACAGACACAATATCTATCTATCTATCTATCTATCTATCTATCTATCTATCTATCTATCTATCTATCTATCTAT